TGTGTGTGTGTGTGTGTGTGTGTGTGTGTGTGTGTGTGTGTGTGTAAGAGGTATACAAGTGGATTCTGGGGACAGTGCTACTTCTATGGGCTGCTTTTAATGCATTTTAATAACTGGACATCTTACCTTATTGGAGACCGGCTGAACCTGTTACTGTATGTGGGAACAATAATGAAATACAAAAGACCATATTTTACTACTGTTTTAGTTTTGCCATTTTGTTTGAACTTTGTTTTAGGTTGAAATTCAGATCTCTTTCAGGAGGTGATGAGAAACGTAAGGCTCACCAGATCAGACTTGTGGATTTAGTGATGAAGGAAACTATAAATTTGCCTGCTGCCAGCCCTAGACCACAAAAAACCCCCAAACAAACAGAGGTGCTATGTATAGATGGGGTATAGTCTAAGCTTGGGAGCAGAGAAATAAACTGTATGGAAAGCGATATTTCTGGAATTGTATTCCCACAGAAAGCAAAATTATTATGATATCTAGGACTGGAGGAGGCTTCCAACATTGGGGAGATTTTTCTACTGCTTCATGCTTTTTCTCTTTGAACTGGAAATACCTACCTTATTCCTTCAAATATAAGACACTGCCCCAATTTTTTGTTGCTCAAGCTAAGCAAAAAAACCCCCTGTCAAGTAAAGACATATTTACAAAGATATAAACATTATGGCACATGCAAGTTTCTTCACTTAAATTTAAGACAGAACATTTTTAGAAGAACTATTTTGTTTTAAAAAGTTTGTCTTATATTTAAAATAGGCGTTTACCCTGCTCAGCATTTACCAGAGCTGAATTAGTAGTGGTTTCCTGTGGGATACCCTGTTGCAAATTCTGCTTATGGCAGAAGTTAAAGCGTGGCTATTGCTCTTTGTCCTCATCCTCTGTATTACTGCGGAGTCCTCCTTTGCAGACATGCAGAGATATATATTTTATCTTGCAGGTAATATAAATATAGATGGTATGAAACCTCATGAAACACACCTGATTTGGATTTATTATAAACGTTAAACTCAGTCCAGATGTATCTCCAAGATCTGCACACTTTTTGAATGAACCTGGAATAGTTTTTCCACTGTGAGCTAATTTATGGCTTTGTGTCAAAAAGTTAGAAAGCTTGCAAAACCAAGAAAAAAGTGGAGGTCTGAGTTAAACTGCTGGTTTGTGCATATAGTGCCATTCTTTTTAAAATGATGACTTCCTTTTGCTTCACTGTGGTGTTAGGGACTATTACATATAACCTCATCAGCATTTTGTGCAAAGTTATGCAATAGAGTATTAAGGATCGGGTTATATTTGCCTATATTGTAAAATAATGCACAGTATCTTTTCAGCTCTGCAGAGCACATGCTATGTACATGAAAATTTTCACACAAGGGCACTTATACACATACACAATGCTTACTGCAACACGTTCTAATTAGAACAGATTAGAGCAGACTTGATTAATTAGCACTCTGCAGCAGCCTTGTCGAACGAGCTTTAATTAAAGCATCCCCACTGCCATTTTGAAGTGTGGGAAGCCGAATACATGAGACACTGTAGGTGTTTTAATTAGAGTGGCTCCCAAGAGTCACTCTAATTAAAGCCCCCCTCCCCACAACCCAGAGCACATGTGAAGTGACAGAAGTTACACACAAACCTGTTTAAGTAATCGGAAATTGGTTTAAACCTGTAACAGAACAGAAATTCAATGCACAGAAACCAGTTTCAAAATGGCTGAAACTTGTTGTCCCAGGAAGGGAGAGGGACGAGATAATAATAAGTACTTACCTACAGTGGGAGACACAGCGCAGCAGTGGCAGAAGGAAGAGCCCGCACGGCTCATCAGCCGCTTCTTTATTCAATTAAGGCCGTCCAGTGACGTCAGCCATGAGCAACAGTCGGCGGGGATAAAAATGGCGGCTGACGCTGCAGAAGGGGAGGAAAGAAAAGCAGGAGGGAAAAGGGGCTACAGCTGCCACCGAGAGGGGAGAAGACCTTTCCTATGAGGCCCACAGAACCCAACAAGTCAGGGGCGGATCAAAGAAGCATGGGGCAGAGCGTCCCGCCAGGAGCGAGAGAGGAAAGGCAGACTAGCAGCAGGGACCCCGAACTCAAAAGAGGACCCAGAGATGAATCGGAGGCTCAATGAGATCCCAGGTGGGAGTACTGGGATGACCAGAGCGAGAGGGGAGCCATGCTGAAGGGGAGGACCCCAAGGAAAGCCCCAGGGTGGTTACAATTGGGGTGGATACTGCCACCAGTCCTGGCCAGGTCAACGACAAAGCAGGAGGGAATCACAGAGATGACGGGCGGCAGGAGAAGCATCCCCAAGCTAGAGTAAGGGGGAAGAGAAATGAGGGAGCGGGGTGTAGCCACATCAGGAAATGGTCCACCGTTTAATGTTTTGTTGATGGTTTTCTGGTCTGTTTCCCCATATGAAGGGGTTGAGGAGTGGATGGTATAGTGAGTATCCCTGAGGAATGGGGCCGAGGGAGAGCCTTGGAGATTTTCTTTGTGTTTCGCTGGCAGAAGGGGCGGAGGATCGGGTGAAATAGGGAGAGCAGGCCTGCATTGGCAAACTGTTGTAACAGGTGGCAAGCAGAGGGATGCGACTCCACAGAAGGGGACAAGGCCGACGGAGGAACAACGCACACAAGGGGGCGTGAGACCGCGGTGTAGGGGTGGCAGAGCCCCATGAGTGACTGCCGGGCGAACCACGGGCTACTGAGCAAACCTGACGACCAACCCCGACCACTGAAGAACCAACAGGTCATGGCAGGCAAGAATAGGGAAGGCGAGTTGAGGAGGAGACACCTGCTAGGTCAAAGATGCTAGTCCGGAGAACGCCCCACGTTTGCCACCAGGGTGAAGGCCGCTTGAGAACGGATATTTGAAGCCTGGCGGCCACACTGGATACACCTGGTTGAATGTAGTACCAGATTTAATTGATTTGGGTCAAACCGGTTTATTAAACTTCTGTTGTTATGAATTAGCATGTTGTTATGAATTAGAGAGCTGTGCTCTAGCAGCCCTCAGCTTCTGGCTTGAGCCACTGCAGGCATGTGGCTGCATTTCCTGAATCACAAGTAAATGTATGTCCAGTTGCTTCTCAGTTTAATCTCTGAAGCTTAAACTATCCTGCAAAGACTGAATTGATTTAGCCTTGGGCTCCTTGACTGTCTGTACTTAGCCCTGAAGAAGCTAAAGACTTTTTGTGTACTGTAGCTAGAATCATAGAACTGAAAGCTTTCATGAGGGAACAGCAGGTCATGTAGTCTGACATCTAGTATATCACATGCCCTGACCCCTTGACTGAGCCCAAAAATACCTTACAGAAAGGCCTCCCACATTGAGTTTAAGACACCAAGAGAGGGCGAATAGATAAATTTCCTGGGCAGTAATTTTCAGAGGCTAATTACCCTTACTGTTAACAGTTTGTGGTTTATTACTCATTTGAATGTTTTCTGCTTTAGCTTCTAGGCATTGATTCTCATTATACCTTTCTGTCCTGGAATAAAGTTTCCTTTAGTACCCATTATCTTTTTTCATGATGAAAATATTTATAACAAAGAATCAAGTAATCTCTCCACCTTCTTTTTTGCTGAACTAATCATAAGCTTTCTCAGTTTTCTGAAAATAGTCTTTTTGGAGCATCACATAGCTATGTTGCTTATAGGGACAGTTTTCTGTATGGCATTAGGTCATGATCACTGTTCTGGGATGTCTTGGTAATTAGGTAATTAGGTCATGATCACTGTTCTGGGACAGCTAAAGTATGCCAGTCACTCTAATCATCAGAATTTTAATTGAAACCTCTGTGAATGTACACAGGGACTGGCACAATTTGGAGACCATTTCCCCTAGCCTCACAGACCACTGTTAGTAACTTCTGTGCTCTCTCATTGAGCGAGATTAGGCAATTAAAGTCTCTTATAGCTAGAAGATTTCCAGAGGAAAATTTCTTTGACAGAATTGTAACAAACAAGCTTAACAATTCCAGCAGATAAAAAAGGCTTTGCGCCATTCAGAAACAGTCACTCTTAAATGTTGGGAACAAACAATTTGGAAAGGAAGGTGACATTTATCAAAAGATGAAGGCCTCCTTTTTCACTTCTGAGTCAAAGCCCTGTCCCCCAGAGAAGAATGTGTAGATGAACTACATGATACACTATAACATCAACTCCTGTGAGATCACCAGGAAGACTTTTCTGAATGAAAACTTTTCCTTTTTTGTAATTAAAATGAGAAACTTTTCAGTTTTTAGGTAGGTGTTTTTCAACTAAAAGCTGACCTGTTTGCAGAAATCTAACACAAAAAGTAGCTACATTGTTGTTCTATTAAAACTTTTTTTCATGTAAAAAAAATTGTAAGTAACCCTAGTTACAATCAAAACTTGTATGATTGAGGAGTATACTGCACTGGTCCACACCTGCAGGGAGCGAACTAGAAAAGCCAAGGCTGCAACTGAACTCTATCTGGCTACATGAATCAAGGACTAAAAAGTCCTTCTTCAGATATGTGGGGAGTTGAAAGAAAAACAAGGGCAACAGCCCCTCTTAAACCAGCTGGGTCTGACTACCTAGGAAAAAGCCTATCTGCTTAATGATTACTTTGCATTGTTTTTTCACCACCCTGCCAAACATGATGCAGGATGACCAAGGTGAAGATAAATATATGTCCACCATTGGCATATATGATGATCTTGTGAGGGAGCATCTTGAGAGGCTGGACCCCCATAAATCAGCTGGTCCTGATAGATTGCACCCAAGAGTGCTAAAGGAACTGGCAGACATCATAGCACAGCCACTGGTGAGGATATTCAAGAACTTGTGGTGCTCAGGCAAAGTACTTGAAGATTGGAAGGGGGCCAGTGTGGTGCCCATCTTCAAGAAAGGAAGGAAAGAAGACCCGGGAAACTACAGGCCAATCAGTTTGACCTCAATCCCTGGGAAGATTTTGGAAAAAATTAGCAAAGAAACCATTCTTGACAGGCTAATGGAAGGCATCATTCTGAGGGATAGCCAGCACAGGTTTGTTGTGGGTAGGTCTTGCTTAACCAATCTAATTTTCTTCTATGACCAGGTGATGTATCATTTGGACAAAAGGGAAGAGGTTGATTGATATCATATACTTGGACTTTAAAAAAGCCTTTGATCCGGTGTCCCATGATGTCCTCATGGGAAAACTGGGCAACTGTGGCCTCAACTACTCTACAGTCCAATGGCTGGGGAACTGGGTCCGAGGTTGGACCCAGAGAGTGGTAGTTGATAAAACTGAATCAATGTGGCACTTGGTGACTAGTGGCATCCCCCAAGGTGTCGCTCTCAGACCTGTACTCTTTAATGTCTTCATAAATG